GACAGGGGAAAAAAAAATGGTATCGGAGCACTTGTACTCGCCCAAATACTCGGTATCTGTGCATCCCTATTAACCCTTGCAGTGGGGCTATCCCTGGACTGCAAGTGGTAACTGCTTGGTCTACAAATGTAGAATGTGTGAGAGGTGCACTTTTCTGTCAAGTATGTGTTTAAGTAAGAAAATGTTGGCAATTTGTGATGGTAATCTCGGTTAATAGATTTGTTGCTTTTCTCCTCAGGGCCCGCTCCCCAACACCTGCTGTCACTTCTGGTTAATGGTGTGGCAGCAGAAAAGTAAAGCAATTGTAATGCTGAACCGAGTCATTGAGAAGGATGTGGTGAGTGTAGTAGTCGTTGTGCTTTCTCAGAAATGAAGTCATATGTTCTAGCAGTTGCAATCAGTTTCACATCTCCATCTGCTGTTTTTCTCTTTATAGCATTTATTTCCTGGCTCTAGATTGTGTCACCAGCCTGATGCATACTGTCCTGGGCTGCTGAGCCTTGCATGCAGTACATTCTGGAAAAGAATCCTGAGCACCTAAATGTAATCAATTCATCCATATTAGCCAGCAATATAAAGCCTTACAAAAGGTTTTTACACACTTGAAAGCATAGCTAAATAATGATTTAAGCACAGACCTTTATTTGAATACCTGAAATGTGAGCAGACTAAAGATTACTTGTCATAGTCAAGATAATTGTATAGTGGGTTTTTTTTTCTATTTATTTTTTAAAGCTAGAAAAAATTTATTTAAAGGGGTTATATTTTTCATGTGTTTAGATTGCGGTTGAAAGTAACCAGTCTGCTAAAAATACATTGGAATAATAAATTTTGTAGGGGACATGGACAGCCCCTGCATCCAAATATATACTGTATTGGCACACATCACGCACAGCTGACAGTACTTCCTTTTTAAAGAGCACCTGTCATTATGTACTCTCATAATGCTGTAAACCAGCAGTGTAAGGAATGGTTGCATATTTTATCCGTATTACGATTGCTGTGATTAGTTTAAACTAGGGATGCACCGATATATCGGCTGCCGAAACATATCGGCTGAAAATGGCACTTTTGGCTAAATGCCGAAGTGCAATTTTCTGGCCGATGGAGCGGTACATCCGTGGTTTCTCTTCTCCCCGCTGGCGCTGCGGTGTCCCAGTGGGGGAGGAGTGAAACTGTCACAGCCGCTGTGGGAGCAGAGCGCTGTGAGCGGCCGGCGTCTCTCCTCCCCGCACCGCTCAGCCTCCTGTCACGGATCAGCAGAGCGGTGTGTGGGCGGAGAAGGCCGGCGCTGTCGCAGGATGCTGAGCTCTCCTCCCCGCACCGCACGCTCAGCCTCCTGTGACAGCGTGTTAGGATGGAGGTACAAACACTCAGCGATCAGTGATCGATGAGTGTTTGTAAATAATTGAGGATATGGTATGTTTACACACACTCTGTTTATGTTATGAATGAACAGGAACACTCAGTATAGAGGATTCCTGTTCATTTTATAATGGGGGCTGCAAAAAGAGATTGAAGGCTCTGTGTTCTCAATCTCTTTTTCTATTTTAAAAGGGAAATATCAGGTGTCTGTTTAGACGCCTAATATTTCACTGAAGCACCTCAAATAAAAATGTTTAATAAAAATAAGTACAAATAAAATATAAAAACATGTTAAAAGTTTTTATTAAAAAAAATAAAATAAATATAAAATATTTTTAGAAAAAAAAATATTTTTTCTGTTTTTTCTGACCTTCCTTTCTTTCTTCTTTCTTCTTCTTCTTTTCTTTTTTTCCCCATTTCGGTGTACCTCTAGTTTAAACCTCACACTTTGTACCCATGTTCTCATCGGATTGATGACTTTGTTTTGGGATGGTTAGGTGTGCTAAAGCTGCTGTAAAATGGGAGTAGCTGCAGAGAGAAACCTGTTGTAAAAGACAGAAGATGGGCTTCCAGTTTTCTATCACCACTCTCCAGCTCTTTCTTTTTTTCTTTCACCTCAACCTAATTGGCTATCAATACCAGGGTAACAGTTTGTTAAAAATCAATAAAAAATAGCCTTTCACAGTTGAGAAAGATATTAAGTATGGCTAGTATTAAGTGGTCACACTTAGATGGACATGTGCTGTAATGTGGAAGACTCTTTGCTATTCTTTCAAATAGCTTCTGCACTTGTCATGAGTGTCAGGAACATAATCGCATGTGTAACTCAATCACCATGATGACATGTAATGCTGTTTTAGCATCTTTACCCTGGCGAGTTTACTCATGTCCTAGACTTCATGGAGCCATGGGAATCGTATTATGAAATGGTCACAGGGTAGTTTCACCTTCCTTTTACCTCCAATCAGGCTCTTGGACTTGCTCATCTGCTTTGATGCATTACTTGTGATTGTATTTAGGTGACTGGGTTACCCTTATGGCTGTAAATGCTGGCTATAAATGTTGGGGTGTCTTCATGACTTTTATTAGAACTAGGTAACTACAAAGCGTCTTCAACATTACAGAACAAGTGCAGTTAATTGTGACTGACTGCTAATAGCTATACCATGACCTGGATAAATGAGAACCTTCAGACGTAATGAGTAGGCTTGCATAGTGTCTGTTAAAACATGACTGATGGGATTACAGATTCTTTTTTTTCCCCTTGTGTCAGTTTTTAGATCTTTAACACTTTTCAGAGCAGATTTGTTGTATGCTCCTCTTCATCCTAGCATAATTCCTTTTGGGTTGATTTATGTGTTCATGTATTCATATAGGTAAAGTGTGCACAGTATTGGCCTACTCCTGAAGATGAGGTACTTCCTTTTAGGGAAACAGGACTGTGCGTAAAGCTGTTATCAGAAGATATTAAAGCAAACTACACAGTCCGGGTGTTACAGCTACAGAATATCAATGTAAGTTGTCATTCATAGAAAACTAGGAGCATCTAGTTTTATTGTATGTTGAATGAATTGGTGAAAGCCTGATGTTGAGGGGGTGTTGTTGAGAGATGTAATGGCTCTCAGTTGTTGCTAAAATCATACCTTGGCTTCAGAATTGCCTACACTTATGAAGGCCCCCGCTGCTACTATCAGTATATGCATTACTCAGCTGACTGTAATGTGTAGGATGTTCTTGCACAACTTGTAACATTTTTATCTGCTTCTGGGGGAAACATTTTATACCTGTTCATTGAGGGATGCAGGAGTTTAGAAACTGACGGGTTATACTTCCACCTACAGGAGGAATGGATACTGGTAAACAAAATTGTGGATCAGCCCAATATAGTACCGTAACAATCAGTGATGCTGACAGTGGTCGGCTAGTTGCCTAGTTCCCCATCAGGTGTGCTTTGCTACTTATTGACAACAGACTGTGGTTGGGTTCAATAGCAGGCTGTCTATTGACTATGGAACTCTGTGAGACTGACCTAATGTGGAACTAGATTCTCCGAATTCCCCATCAGGCTCTGCCCACCCACAACAAAAGTGAGCTCAATAACGATAAAGCCTGTGCTTTTTACCTGGCTCTGTGTTCCTGAGCTGCACTTGTGGACAGTGTGTCCGCTATGGCAGAGCTTGATACATTTTTTTTTTTAGTCCAGGAGCAAGCTAAAAAAAGTTAGGAGCCGGGTTTTTTTTGAGGGGGGTGTTTTGCATTCATGGGGGCTGGAGGATTTCATTATTTTTTTTGCTCATTCGAGTTGATGGGTTCTCTTTTATGGTGACATTAGGCATATTAAACCTCTGGTGTCACCTTCCACTTCAATAGATTTAGCTAGGAAATGATAGCTACTTGCTGAGGCAGCTGAATGTAAACACAGCAGGCAGTGGCTGGGAGCAGTAGCGAAAAGTAGGCTGGCTATTGCACCCGCCCCCTGCCTGCTGTGAATCAGCAGAGGAGGGCCCTGCAGGAGAAAGTTCTCCTTTGATTCACAGCAGGCAGGGGGCGGGTGCAATAGCCAGCCTGCTACGGGCTACTACAATTTTTAAAATGGCCAGTAGCAGGCTGGCTACTGCTGCAGACCGTTGGATTGGAGATCTGTCGCAGTCCAGAGGTTTATCCTAGGAGTGGCACAGAAGGGGCATGACGGGAGGGCACGAGGGAAGCAGACTGAGACTGTTAGCGGTCTCTCCTCACAGGCTGTAATCGGCTGCAGATTACAGCCTGTGAGGAGAGACTGCTGGCGGTCTTTGAGTCTGCAGCGGGGAGAAAAATGGAAGAACTGAGTTATTGTGGGGAGGGGAAGAGTTAATTGAGATTAATACAAACTACATGCTGCCGACCTCCCTGCTTTTATTCAGCACCAAATGTGGGGGCGAGCAGGAAGAAGAGAGCTGAAAAATGACAAAAGTGTGGGAAGACCTGCAGCAGCAGAGAATCTTAAAGCAGCGGAGAAGTAACAGCAGTGAACGGGCTAACAAAAGCCCAGGCGTCGGGGCACAATTTCTAGTCACATTGGTGACCTGGTACCTGGGATTTGTTGAGTCCTGCGCTATGGGCACTTGTGCCTCAGTGTGCCACGGCACCGGAAATGGCGGTGCTTGCATCAAATTCAATCTGCATTGCTTATGAAATGTCAATAGCGTATACAAATGTACCGGTATATATTTTACTGCCTTACTGTAATCTTTATGGTAGAGGTTTGAGGAAACCTCTTTATATAGTAAAATCGACCAAATCGATCTAAATTCAGGAAATTGTGTAGACCTGTTAACATTATTATTAATTTTAGTTTTTTATTTATTTTTTCCCTCTTCAGACAGCAGAGTGCAGAGAAATTTTCCATTTTCATTACACCACATGGCCAGATTTTGGTGTTCCAGAATCCCCAGCCTCCTTTCTAAACTTCCTGATTGAAGTCCGGAACTCTGGTTCCCTAGATCCCGATTATGGGCCCTCCGTCGTACACTGCAGTGCAGGGATTGGACGTTCTGGTACCTTTTCTTTGGTTGATACCTGCCTCATACTGGTAAGATTTAATATCTCTGGTAATGTTATAGTTCCCGGGATTCATTTTTCATGGCTTTGTATGCATTTTAAGCATGTCCATTCCCCAAATGGCGAAACACTCTAATGAAGTATCTGTCAAAGCAGTTTAATGCAGAATATTCTTTTTTAGTGCAACATTTTGAAATAAGTTTTATTTGGTGTCTGCTGATTGTACCTGCATATTGTATGTTACACTTTAATTCCAATGATTTTAAATGAGGCTAATTCACACCATTGCGGTCAGTTCCAGAGCTTTCAAAAAAAGTACAGCAATATGTTTTACTTCACACTGGAACTCCTGTAAACGCACCAGAACGCGTTCGACCATAACTGAAACCAAATATTTTTTTTAAACTGCCCCAGAATGCACCAAAAACACGTGTGCAGAAACGCATCCGGCACTTGCAAATTATGGTGTGTACAAACTCTAATTCTGGTTGGCCAAGGAACCTCATAAATATTCCCTGCATGCCTTTAGGGGTAGAAAGGATAAGATAATGAATAGGCTATTATTTCTGCAAGATGCGGCTGATGTCATGGGTGGGTGGTCTCTTGTATACCACAAATATGCATGTGTTTTGCCTTTCAGCAACTGTTGCTCAGCTGTTTGCTATGGAAGATTTGTGTGTGAGCATTATGACCTTTTCTTGTCATTCTGGTGTGAAGCCGGTTAATTTTGTTCTGGATTATTTTTTTAAATTTAACCATACTGTGTTTTTTGTCTAGATTTGTATGTGTGAAATATACCAGTTCTAAAACATGGTGGCTGCAAGTACAGAAAATACCTGTTGATCTTTCCAGAAATGCAGAATCCTTGTGACTTTCTGTGACCTGAAATGAAAGCAAGGGGGCGGGAGCAGGGGAATGCGGAGTCACAGCGGTCTCTCCTCCCTGCTGGTGCCGGCTCCAGTGGTCTGTGTCCCCGCTGCCACTGCCGATACAGGCGGGGAGAGCAGCGGGGTTTGAAAGGGACGCAGACCACTGCTGCCAGCACCAACGGGGAGGAGAATGAAGGAACAGAGTGGCGGCGGGGGCTTCAACTAATCGATAATGAGAATCGTTGATAATGATTCATCGATTTTTAGTTGTTTCAGCCCTAATAAAAACAAGGTTTATTTACGACACTAACATCCATTGACAATATTTTATTTACATTAAATCTAATTCAAAAACGTTTTTTTCGTTTTGGATATAAAGGGGAATTGTTAAAACACCTGACCCAATGACCCCTCCAAAATGTTAGATTTTAGCCCCTTTCAGTCCTGGTAAGTGTGGTCAACAGGTCAGAGGGAATCTTCCCAAGCAGGAACACAGCAATAATAATCTGATGATGGGGTTCTATGTTTTCCCTACTCTTTAAAAGGAAAAAACTAAATGTGGCTTTTGATTCAATATATACATAGGAAACTAAAGATTATGGTATATCTTCTAATATAAAGGTGTGGTCTGTTGTGTTTTTATAGTATTTAAAAGCCTAGAAGCACATTCTGTAGATGTATGGTTTTCCATGAATGTGATCATGTTAGAATTACTTTTTTTTTTTCTCTCCCGTCAGATTGAAAAAAGGAAAGACCCCTCAACTGTGGAGATTAAACAAGTGTTGTTGAATATGAGGAGCTACCGAATGGGACTAATTCAGACACCCGGCCAGCTGAGATTTTCCTATATGGCTGTTATAGAGGGAACAAAATTGATCATGGAAGGTTCAAGCCAACAGGTGTGTACAGTTTGTGTTTTGTTTTTTTTGCCCTTGGATTACTAGGATTCCTACCAGTGATATACTTGCAGTATCCTTTTTCTTAATGGTTTTTTGTTTTTTTTGTTCAACTCCTAGGTGAAGAACCTATCAAAGGACCTACTAAAACATAATTGTATGTGGTGAACACATATGGTTGTAATAGGCATATTAATTCATTGATGTAATAAATGAGATAAATAAGAGAAATGCCTTTTCAAGGCATGAGCAAGAAATTAATGAATGTATTAAATACTATCAATACATTTGTTAACCAAGTACAGTTAAACACATTTTTGAGATGCTGGTTCTTTACATCATGAGAAACTCGGGTGGCTCTTCAGAAGCATACATTTTAGATATCAAATGGGGAAGGCTACGTTTTGTTGCCAGTCTCTATTTAGTTTCCATTGTATTTTAGGCATGCAGGAACTAGTATTATTTTTAAATGGATTAAAGCACCTTTCTTTTTCCTCATTTTTTTTGAGGATCACAGGATTCAAAGACAATTGAGTAATACTGCTGCCTACAGGAGATTTGTACACTGGCAAACAATAGTGACCAGCCCATATAACTCCTCACAGTCCCAGCATGCCTCCGATTTTTAGTGTCCTAGGCGTATGGATGTCTTTACTCTGCTGCAAAAAGTTTAACTATTTCTACTATCTCTATTTTTTTTTTCCTTTTTAAAACAAAAACTTTTTTCTTTTAATCCAACATTTCCTTATACGCTGCTGACCTGGTACCCAAGATTTAATCCTATACCCTGAGCCAAGTTTCTACTGTCCTGCAGTGCAGCATGCCAGATCCAAGATACATGCAGAGCAGCCCCGCTTAAAGAGATCTCTAGATCTCTTGATCCACTAGTGGCTCCAGTGCTGCCTGCAGTGCACCCTCTAAATGGCCAGTCACTGATGGTCTATAATGATGTCCTCTGCTTGAGTCTCTACACTCTTCATTGCCTTCCTTGGCTCTGTCAGGCATGGCTCCCTTCTTGGTTCTTTCCGGGGAGGATTTTTCAGTAGTTATGCTGGATTTCATGTGACAGCTTGCAACCCTGATAGCTGACTCTCCCAGCAAAAGCTGAAAGCATACTTTCACACCTTCTCCTACAGAATTTTTATTTGATCGGCCTACAACTTTAGTGGCCTCTGAGCCTCCAGTCACAGAGACTGTCCGATGAGTCTTAGAAACCCTAAAGTTCACTTTACCCCCTTTCTCTAAAAATTACATCAGCCTACAGCTCTGCATGCTGATTTTAAAATCCTCTTACATTCATTAGTTAAACGAACATGTTTTTCATTTATTTACAAATAATTTATCTACTTCCTGCTCCAGTTTTGGCACAAATGGTGTAATGTGTCCAAGTGTTGCATCCTGGGAAGGTTTACATCAGCAGAGCATTGCCTCGAAATATCATCTGAGATCTCAAGGAAAGGTATTTTCCTCCCCTGAGATGGTGTGTTTGGTCGCATGTCCTAGTCACATGTGCCAGAAATCCAGGAAGTAATAGGAGAGCTAGTAATCTGCCCTTGGTAAACATGGCCACTGTCAGAAGGATGGGGAGGAAAGGGGAAATGAGGTTTGAAAAGAATACAAAGCCTGCAATTATTTATAAGTATGTGTTTGTAAATTATCATTTCTAAAGGTGTGTTTGTTGTTATGGGTAAAGTTCCTCTTTAATGGATGTTTACTACCTGTGTAGGATCTCTTAGAGGTCCTAAGATTACAAAGACCTTCCCTGTGCACTCGTTAGTCCCAGATGTCCTTTAGAACAATTGGGACACTCCTTTTTTTAGCTTTTCACTCCTACTAAATATTTTGGCACCTGGAGTGTTTAAGTTGCTGACCCTGTTTTATCCTTGCTGTACTGCCAGGGTATCCCCATTGTGAAATATCTGGACGACCTCCTATGGAGGCAACAGTCTGCACAGGTTCTGTCGAACTATTTGGCGTGGATAATACAAACCTTTTAAGGTTTGGTTAGATCCTAAACCTTCAGAAGTCTTTTTTTCTTCCCCAAGAGAAACTCCTAACTCTGTGCTCCCAGACTTGACTACTCAGTCCAGGATTTGTGTAACTCTGTGCTGTCCGTGCAGGGGATTTAGCCATCAGATGGATACTTTTTCCCCTTCAATATACTGAAGCTCCAAAAGGTTTGGTCGTCCCTACGACGCTGGACAGCCCAACTGGAGGGGCAATCAAACATGATCCGTTTAGACAACGCCTCAGCAGTACATTAATACATGGTTCATCAAGGAAAAACCAGTCTTGTGCCAAAAGTGGGACACACTAAACGCGGACCTCCAAGTATCCAGAATATTCCCCTTTTCCAGTCTTTCTCACAAGCCTGCCTTCCTTTTCACTGATGCTTCTGAAAGGAATGTTTCCAGGCTGGCGACCTTGTCCTGCAAAGAACCTTTTTTTGCTCCTACATAACGGCATGCTGGTGTTGAGGCCCAGAGCCTCCTTCCTTCCCTGGTGGTTTCAGCCTTAACCAGGACATTGTTCTTCCATCCCTCCTTTCCACCTCCTTTGCCTTGCAGCACTGAGGGTTCCTGGTTCGAAGCCTAGCCAGGTCACTATCTGCAAAGGAGTTTGCATGTTCTCCCTGTGCTTGCGTGGGTTTCCTCCGGGTACTCTGGTTTCCTTCCACACTCCGAAGACCTGCAGATAGGTTAATTTGGCTCTTGCATGTGAGATGGGGACCTAAGATTGTAAGCTCCTTAAGGGCAGGGACTGATGTGAATGTGCACTATGTAAAGCGCTGGGTATATTGCTGGTGCTATATAAATACCAATAATAATAAAATAGGAGGAGACCTCCTTCCATTGTCTGCATGTAGTATTGCTGTATGTGTGTATCTAAAAGCAATTCAACAGAATGTTACCTTGCCCAGTAATTTTTAAATATTAGTAGTAGTTTTGGCCAGGGTTGTCAAAGCGAACCAACAAACATACCATCATTTTGTATCTGCAAGGCAATAATCAACAATAATTGGATAAAAAGTGTTTTCAATCCTTTAGTTCAATTTACAAGGGGGACAGTCTAATAAGCCTCCAAGATTTTTGAACAGAGCAAAAGACAAATGAGTTCTTGGGGTCATAGGACTTATCGTTTCTGGATTTATTGGGGCACATGGTTATAGAAATAGATCTGTGCTAAGGGATATACGTTTCACTAAACCCTAGGCTTGACATTTTCAAAATGTGTTATCCCCCTATTTTCTGCAGCCTGAGAAATTATTACAAGTCAATAATTAAACATTTTTCTCCACATTTAACCATTTTGACATGTATTTAATTTCTTGAATTAGTGTAAAGACATTTCTAAAGATGACCAATCTGACAAAGTGGACAGTAAACAGACAGATGAACGTTACAATGGTAACCGGCTCCATACAGAAGAGCAGAATGATGTTAAATCTCAAGAAACAGAATCTGATGCACAAAGGTAAATGTCTGCTTGTATCTTGCAATGTATCTTGCCATCAACTTCCCCCCCAAAAAAACAATTATCCTTATTGGAACAGTTACCACTGATTAAAATATTTAGAAGGATCACTGGGCATCGGTCTGTGTGCCTTCTGATGCAGTGGCTGTTACCCAGTGGGGAGAAGGGAAGCTTCCAGGGGCTGAGCGGGCGGTGACAGCAGTCAGGATGCCAAGCGATGCATGGCGTTGATGATTCTAATTGTTCCAAGAGGCTGAGCTCTCCTCCCGAACCTCCCAGCTCCTCCTCGTGTGTCAGGATCGAGAGCATTGAGTGGAGGAAAGCAATGTGATCTGCCGCAGGACGTGAAGCTCTCCTCCCCACCTCCCGGCTCCACCTGTGTCAGGATAGAGAGCAGTGAGTGGAAAGCGCTGTGATCTGCCACAGGAGGTGTAGCTCTCATCCCGGCTCTGCTTTCTGTGTCAGATGATGCTTACTATGTCCCAATTATGAATGATAGGGAAGTGATCTACATCACTTCCTGTTCAATAATGATTTTGGACATATTAACTCTTACTATATCCACAACGTATGAATGAACAGGAACACTCAGTATAGAGGATTCCTGTTCATTGATAACAGGGTCTGCAGAAAGAGATAGAGGATTCTGTGTCCTCAATCTCTTTTTCTATTTCAAAAGGGAAATATCAGGAGTCGGTTGAGATCCCTAATATTTCCCTAGAGCCCCCGGCAGTAAAGTAAAAATAAAAAAATGTAAAAATAACCAAGAACGAAACATTATGATCACATGTTAGAAAACTGCTTGACCTGCCCTTTTCTTGCTTGCAATATCACATTAAATCATGGTGAATGAGATCCATGAGATGAGCCACTTCAACCTGACTGAGGCCCATTGTTCTTAAAGCCATACAATCTTCATGACTCTTTGCTCCTTCTTATGGTCATCACACACATTACAATCTGACCATACAGTCTCTGCATAATCAACTTTAAATTTACCAAGTGTATGCAGTATGAGGACCTGCCTAGTGTATCCAATCTCCTTTTAGATCTACTATCAGATTGTAGCATGTGTGGTGAGCTTTATATGCATCATTTGACCTCTTTTCATATGGCCAAAATAATCCAGTTTTCCACTTGCCAGTCAATTCAGTCTTGTTGGTGTGTATTGTATGCCAAAATTCTGCTATAATATGTTGTGTTTTTTTTTTTTTGTTCCTTGTAATTTTGTAGTACGCTTCGGAAAAGGATGCGAGATCGAAATATTAGAATATCCAACACTGAACAAAAAGTGCAGCAGGTGAAGCAGAGGATGAGTGAAGCGGAGCAAAAAAGAAAAAGGTGGTTATTCTGGAAACCTTTTCTCATTCCAATTGGGTTGGCTTCAGTCCTTGTAATGGGAGCTTTTGTCTGTTGGAAAACCTATTCTCCCTGACTTTACACAAATGGTGCTTGCATGGGTGTCTCCCTAAAAACTAAAAACAGCCGGGTGCTGTGACTGGTGCAGACCTCAACCTGAGGTATGGTGTGTGCTTTCAAATGGATCAAATCTGTCTGATGTCTTAAGCCATCTCAGGAGCTTTGGGGCCATCATGTTCCTAACAAGCTGCTACCTTTTTTGTTTTGTATGGATGAAAAATGGTACTATTATTTTGTTTTTTCTGATTTGTATTCCATAATTGCACCAAAAGCTGTAAAGGTGTTTGTTTTTTTGTTTTACTGGAACAGTATATTTGTAAATGCACACAGACCACAGAGGTTATGCACATGTGTAGATGGTTATATATGTCTGTGCTACCAACAGTAGGACTCTGAGTTTGTGTGTGAGGGTTTCTCCCTACCTTCATCTAGTTTAGGCTAAATGGTTTTGAGGCAGCTGGTATGTACTATGAACGCAGGCTGCTTAAATTGAATCATCAGACCTTCCTCTTCATTTATCTGCTCGAGATTTCTTGTTTGTACATTAACAGGGTTATTCACAAAAGGGTGAAGAGTTTGGAGAAGGCAGGAGAAGTGAACAACATGGCTGAACTGGAAAACTTCTCCAATCAGCCCACTTTCCAGGTCCGCTATGTTGTTCTAGAATGTTCACTTCTGCCGCCTTCACCCTTTTGTGAACAACCCTGTAAGTTTTCCCCCCAAAGTCATTGGAAGCGGCAGGTAGAAGCAGAAACAAGACTGTCTTAACAATGGAGCTTTAAAAGCAAGTATGATGATTATTTTTTACGCCTTTCAACAAATCAATTTACAGCGTAATCCTTCTTAAAGGAAACGCTTTTTTGTTATGATATAAGGTACAATTAACGTGCTCTACGGTATTTAAATTGGGCTTTTGCAAATCTCTAGCACAGCCTGGCCTGTTTATACCCCATGGAAAATTAAATCATAAAGTAATATTAAAGTCATAATGTTTTTGAGCCATTTCGAAAGCTGATAAAATCACTTACAATGGATGCTGCTCCCTGATGTTTAAAAGTTTTGTTTCCAGCAGGACTGGCTGGTGCGCTGAGCACTGGGCCTGATATCCTGTTTTTATGGTGGCTCCTTTCTCTTGTAGGGTCCTATGGAGCCACCCTTGGGTGTGCTAGTAAACTATGTGTGTGTCCACAAACACATAGACTAAGGCAACCCACTCCCCTGCTCCTCAGACCACCCTCCTCGTTTCTCCAAAGTTGTAGATGGATCTTGCGATCTAGTACTGGACAGGAAGTTCAGGGAAGCAGAACTAAGAGAACTGCAGTCATCTTTTTGGAAACATAACTAAGTGCTGGGGGGGGGGGGGGGGGTAAGAAAAAATTTTTT